TATATCATCGTAATAGCAATTTGTTAACGAAATTTTTTGGCTACTAATGTTAATGTTCATTGGCAGTAGTAGTATTAGGAAGGATACTAATAAATGTTAATTGTGTTTACTTTATTGATTAGAATAAATTTTATGATCAGTATTAGTAACGTACATTAAAGTACAGAAAACTAGATCTTTACTGATCAAAAACAAGTCGAGTCATTGTTTATATACAACCGGTACAACCTATTTGGCGTCTATGTCTACATAAAGCAGGTATATTTATGAACAGTTTCTGTTATGCAATGTATAAGATATAGCTTGTAGCATCAATACAAAGAATTATTTGCATTACAAAAATTTATTTAAAATGAAACCATCGATCCCATCCGCCTCCATTAATCAACCCTCAAGCAATTAGCAATCCATTGCTTCTTCTAATTCGATTCAGCATAATTTATTCATTCCAACATCTTCGATTTTCATTAGCATAGAACCCTCTAATTATTCTCCTGTTGCATTGTCACGAGAACTTTGTATATCCGAATCGAATTTTTATCCAGAAAATTAAATTAACGCATATCAACGTAATGCAATTTTCAAGCCCCATTGACCCTTACCATAGTATTGATGTAATCTAATGTGATGGTTCCAATTATCTGCAGAATTCATCTGTTTCATCTATCAAGTGGCCGTTGCAAAGAGTAGGGAGAAAATGGGAAAATCATTCGTGATTAGTCCGCATTAGACTCAAACGCTTTGCCATGTTACAGTTTAAGTAAGTTAAACTATTACGAGGAGCTGGCGGGGGATTCGAATTACCTATCGACGGCCGAATTGCGTTTGCAACCCACTACCCAATACCCACGACCCACTACCCACTATTCGATTCCATCCCCATGTGGAATAATATATTGATAGGCAACGAACTAAAAGGTGATCTTAGCAAAAAGTAAGCATTTGGCGATGTTATTTACATAATTTGCATAATGAAGTATCAATATCAATTCAAGAAATTGAAAAGTAGTGGACGCTAAATATTCTAATTAAAAGTGTTGTACCTAAAGCATGCTTAAAAATTAAAATCACTCACCATCATCGCGCATCAGCTCCTTTGGACCATAACCATCACTAATTTGAGATCTAAAATTTAATAAAATATATAGATTCATAGTAGATTTGTAAGATAAATTGTTAAATTTAATTGAAATACATAAATTACCTTGTGATCTCACAAAACACGAAACTAACTGTATAGTTTTTAACACAACCCGAATCGAAAGCACCTGAAAAATATATAGCATAAAATTAGAATAGTATCTAGATTATTATATACGTAATTTAATATTACATTATATATATATATATCTATATATATATATTATATATACACAAACAGAATAGAAATTTAATTCACCAATAATTGCTATGAATATTTCATACTTCATCATTCAGATCCATGAGTAAATCATAAAAAATTTGGTATAAACGATATAAAATTACGCGGTGTATTCTATATTAATTTTTATTTAAAAAATTTTAACTAAATTTATTTTTGTGATCATATTATTGTTAATCTTAACATTATAAAAGCAACAATTTAATAAAATCCACTCTGTCTGAATTTCACATTCATTTTCAGAAACTTATTCTGAACAACATTCTATTTTGCCAGTTTAGAATAATCAGTATAATTTTTATTGACCACATTCATGGTTGTTTTTATGTTTTTAACAAAGCAGAAATCAACTAATTAATATAACATTGAAAAATTCTAAAAAAAAATCCATAATTAATACAATCTCATCCTAATATTTCAATTTTTATTATAAAAAAGTTATTTGAAACAAAATATATATGCCGAACTTTATTGAAGAAGTTATACGCGGAATTGTTTGACAAGAAATGCATTTATTGCCTCCAAATATTAAAAAAAATTTTAGAAAAATCATAATAAGAACTTTATTTTTTTATATTAAAAGCTATCAATTCAATTAGAATGAATTTATTCAGTACATCGATTTTACCCTAAAATATATACGTATGTTCCGAAAGTTATTCGGCCTCTCACCTTTATTTAGATGTTTACTCTTCCAAGCTTAGTCCGAAAGTGAATCGATCGAACGCAATTGCCGATTGCACAATGACGAACAAAGATTTAAAAACAAATTTTAGGATAGGATATCCTTATACAAATAGTTGACCTCAGGCGCCTCTTGAGGCAATTGAAATAAGTAGAAAGGTAAGGTCTGCTCCAGGTATATGTGTCTTGTCACAATCGATAACCGATATTTATTTTGAATAATGCAAACTGGAATAGTCAGTTTGATACTAAAAAACTAAAAATTTTACTTTAAAATTTGATAGCATTATTTGCAAAATACGGAAAATATTGTTATACCACTTGTTATTATATTTACATATATATTTTATAGGTAAAATGATTAAATTTACTTATTTGTAATATAATATTCCTTAAATAATTCCAAATCTATATACTATTTAAAGTTTCTTTGAAGTTTTATTCTTATGAGAAAAAATTTAAATTATAAAAATATTGCTCTGTTAATCTGTTAAAAGTTGAATAATTTACACACAATTTGATGTGATGTTTATAATTTTAAAAAAATACGATTTTGTACTGACAATTTAGCAAAAATATATAATTTTCATGAATATGATAGTAATTAGCAGTAATAAACCTTCAACATATTTCATATTAAATGATCATAATGCAAAGTAGGAAATGAAAATTGATACTATGAGGCAAATGACTACATAAACAAAAATTTGCAATTTTATTCTTGCAAACGTATATCTACTATGAAATGATATATTCATATTACAAAAGTTAAAAAAAAAACATCAAAATGTTCATCAATAATATACTCCAACATTTTACTCATATTGATTGCTATCTTTGCACATTTTAAAAAATTAAAGAGACTGACTTTTTTACTATCTAGCAATTATTATTTATTAATTTTGTATGAGCTGAATCAATTTTTTATTTTAATTATTGTAACACAATTTTAATTATTTTATTATTTTTTGACTGATGAATAAATAGTTTTCATATTATAATTGTATGTTCGATAAATTATTCATGCAAACATAATTTTTTTGTTAATTTGTGATAACATATGAATTACATATTTTGATAACATTGTTTAAAATATAATGAGTAATTTATTAAGTGATAGTTACACGTATTCTGATTATTCGATATCTTAATTTTATTCATTAGATACTATATATTAATATATTATGTTTTAAGTATCTCTGGTGTAAAACAGCTGATCAATTGAAATGATTTTGTGAACACGTGGGTTTTATTCCAGGATTAAGAATTAATTTATTTTATATTTTAAACTTTTATAATATATATTGTTCTTTGCATTATCATAAGTAAAAAAGAACAATCATATAGACCGAATCGATTTTATAACGCAATATAAACTCATTTCATAATCGAATGCTCATTTCATATAAACAATAATATTGTATTTTAATCAATTGCATTTAATTTATGCACTTTTGTAAACAGAATGAGGCTGTATGAGAACTTTAAAGCCCACTCGCAATTAAAAATGATTAAATAATTATTTGCTTTCAATTAAAAATTGTTAAATATAGATACATTTGTCAAGATAATTTTGGAAAACGGTAGATAAGATATCAAAATAATTCTAGTCATTTATGATTATTTTAAAATATTCATCTTACAAATTTGGTACACACAAAAATATTGTTAAGTCATCTTTATTAGTCAATTAGAAAATTATGAAATATTAGAGAAAAAGTTTGTAAGAAATGTGCCATTATTCTGAATAATAATATGTCGAGGATTTAAATTTGATTTTAAGAATATTGTACCGCGTGTAAACATTACAGAAATTTAAAAGTTAAACATATTCAAATGTTATGAATTACACAGTGGGAATTCCAAAATGCAATTTATACATTCAAAGTACTGCGTCAATAATATATTACAAATGCAAATAATAAAGAAATAAAAGATTTCATTATGATAAATATTTAATATAATTAGTTATTAGATATAAACAACAATACTTTAAGTAACAATAACTGGAAATAATTTTTTCTTACAACTATTATATACACTGATATACATAGTAAATCATGATGTAGAGATTATCTTTCAGATTTGCCTATTAACAATAAACATTTAACAATTACCAATAATTAAAAATAAATTACTAAGTAACTATTATATACACTGATATACATAGTATTTACGAATTTGAAATGTTTTACAAACATCTGTGATAATTTCATATAACATATCAAACCACAACATGGTACGAAATATTTCCATATGAATAAACTCCATATGATAATATCATTATTGAAAATTTTTGACTCATCAAGACTAACAAGTTGATATATTTATACTTATCAATATGTGGTAACAAATTCATTGTAAAATTCAGATAATAACTTTACATATCTATGTACAATTATTAAAAATTAATTAAATTTATAAAAGTGATGCCATTTGAGAAATTATTAAGGAGCTGCGATCATAGTCGACGAATTATCCTTTTTGAGAGGTACTTGGTCAGGGCTGATACAAAACTTTTGCCTGCATAGTTTGCAAAAATAGATCAGCATCAAGGGTATCGGCGTCATAATCGCGACGGCAACTGGTACCACTGTTGTGAGATCACCCTCGGGCTGTGGCAACGTGAAACGTAACAAAAATATTGATATTCCCGTATTCTGTATTCCAGTTTCTATCGCGATGGCTAGTATATCACCCGGGGGTTGTCTGAACGCTTTTCCACCTATAAAACCAGCCAAGTATCCGAGCCAAGGCAGACCCAGCCCGGCTACTACGATTTGCCATGAAAACAGTTCAAACATGTAAAGGTTAGCTACAGTGGCGAATATCACTATAAATAAAATGAGTATTGTCGATGCCGGTTTCAGAATCCTCACTAAAATTCTTGTCAACCTCGGCAAGTATTTCTGAATGCAAAATCCAATGGCCAGTGGTAAACTAAGGCAATTGCGTACATGCCTATTTTATCATAAGGTACCGCAAGATCTCCAGAATCAAATATGTGCTTTCCTAAAGTGAATATCCATAAAGGCATCATTCCAAATGCAGCAATGTGCTTATGGTAGTCATTGTTACCGACAAATCTAAATTTCCGCCTAAGATAAAAGTCCATATATTGGAAGCGCCACCTGCTGGACTGACTCCCGTGAAGAACAAGCCCAATGCCATTTCATGGTTATTAGGAAACAGCACCCGTCCAAGGGCATAACTTATGAGCGGCATAAACAAGAACTGTGATACAAAACAAACAGCGGGACCGATTGGTTTTCTTATAATATTCGCCGCGGCCCTCCAGTCGATTGCTGCCCCGAAATTGATATACAGCACAGCCACTAGGGTAGCAACCCCGCCGGTAAACAAATGATCCAACAATCGCATGCGGCGAATTACTGTCACAGTCAATTCATTTGTTGATTCTTCACTAGTTCCATTCTTGAAAAACACCTTACACGAAATTTTAGTCTTGCCCAAAAACACGGCAGTAACATTCACTTGGGTACACAGACTTTCATTACACTGTTTGGGTTGAAATTCTGAATTAGGGACACTCGCGACATGTGTGGTTTCGGAAGTGAACTGCACTGATTTTAAATCGGCTAAAGACAGCTGTTTGAAGACAACGCCTATTGTGTGGACATCATCCATATCCATGCGAAAAGGACCTGTTGAATTCGTGTTGGTGTCCCATTCCACCTTCCACGCCTTACAGGAGGTCCACGTGTAAGGGCAGAGAAAAGACAGGAGCAGCATCCATCCTTTGGGATTATTTTTAAAACCACCGCCCATCTTCAACTAATATAAGTAATTATTCCTTGACAACCAACGTGTACGTGTACTATCAAGTACACATAATTAATCAAAACTTATCAAAACCGGTAACAATGTAATAATTTATCAATCGATAAATGAGTACGTGCGAATTCGCAAGTACTTGCTGTTATCGTACGAATCTTGTTGTGTTACGTCACGAAGATTTGGAAGTATAAAACACATTCATTAAAAATAATCAAACAAAAAGTATACGGAGTCTTTCAATACAAGAGCATCGAAAATACAACACATAGAAAATAAATATTTAATTCACATTCACAGTTAAACGCGACACAGCCGTCTCTAATTGACACACATTCAGAACCTACTTGTAGGAACTGAAAGTAGAACGAATTCTTTATATTTATAAAAGCGACAAGCGATTTTTAAAGTTTTGTTTTTAAATAATTTAGTAAATGAAGTATTCGCAAACACTATTAGAGCATTGTGCGATTAACCAGTTTTGCACGAGTGAATTATTTATTCGAAAAAATCTCTCCAGCTTCGTCGGGCGTCGTGCGAGTCCGCAGCGCCGCATCGACGCTCGTAGCCATTACATGCCTCGTGTCCATGATAGCGGATTCGTTTTATTTATAAATTAGTGGAGTGACGAGACGAGAAATTAGTGTTGGAAATATGAATTTATATTCCTTCGATCGAATCATATGCACGAAACGTGAATTGACAATTTTACTTACTGTATTATTAACGTTATTGCTATGACCTTCATAAATTGAAAGTATACAAACATGAACTGATAGGATTTACAGTATTTTTGTAGACGCTTGCATAAAACGTGTGTTTAACACTAAACATGATGATAAACTCATAACACATCATTTAATCGTAGCGAAATCAGTTTTAATAATAATTTATTAATATATTTTGCAATCTAAGCATGATTCCAAATAAAATAATCCTTCCCAGACATCTGCTGCATCAAGTTAATAATATTATCATTAGAAAAATTTTGATAATTTTCTAAATAACTCTCTAAAAAATCTACGTTGTCAAAGAGAAGTATAATTACAACAACTCATTAAACAGTTAAGTTCAGGTCGCAGTTCAAAAAAATTATTTTGCAACAATTCATTTATTACACTAATTTATGATTCTTATAATTCATGATTTTTATAAACTTCATAGATATATAGTTTTTAAATTTTTATAAATTTTGCTAAAAGATTATTTCACTTGGCTATGTTTTCCAAAAATACAATATACGTTCAAAATTCAATTATACTAGTATAAAATTATTTAAATTCATTCCTAAAAATTCAGTGATTATTGCACTTGAAAAAAAAATAATTAGTGCACTAAACCTTCCTGCAATTCTTTTAGAAAAGATTTAAGTTTGCAATTCAAAATACTAATTCACAAATAACATGCTCAAAAAATTATCCGAGTTAATGACCTCAACATGATTTAGCATTTCAAATAAAAAATTCAAATGTTTATATAAAATTACTTAAAGAAAATTTTGAGTCATAAAATCTGACTTAATTGTTAAATGAATATTCTGAATTTGGTTCATCTTACCCTTATAAATTAATTAATAATAATTGAAAAAATATATTGATAATAGTCTAAGAAAAATATATAAATCTGGTATTTTTAGAAATTTATATTGTCCTACAAATATAATTTCATTTATTATTTTTCACTACGGTTACTTATTGAATTCTTACTTTATTATAACATTTATCTAAAAAATGTAAGGTTGATTTCAACTCTTTTTATTTCACTTAAAAATATGAATCATAATATGCTTTCTAAGTGGAAGCAGATCTTACCAGCATTGCTACAATCAATTAAAATATATCATAATTATAAGAAATGTCATTTGGATCGCGTGCTAATGTAAGATATATCAAAATAGATAGGAAAACTTGACCTAGAGGAAAAGTCAACAAAATAGCTTATAGGATTATTAGTTAGTTCTAATTGATGTTTAAGAATACAATTACTATTTTTTTTACGGACAAGCGTAAACCGTATAAAAAGGACATAGAACGCTCGCATATCTACCATCCTCTTAATAGAAGATCGGTATGTATTCGTATTCAAATTGCATCGACTAATGCACCGAAAATTCCATTACTATTATGATTAACTTTCGTGGCAATCCGAAAGCCCCGAATTCGTTAATCTGTGCCCATTTTGAGCCGCAGATATGTTTCGCAATCGCACATCCTGAGGTCATAAATTAAGCGGGCGGCCCGATCCGCCACCGGTGGAAATATCGCATGTGCTACCGCTAAGCTTGTGCATTAACTGTAAACTTATACAAAAGGATTATGCGATTTCCAGTCATTTATCTTATGAACATGGTCTGGTACTCGTGTGTACACACTAGTACTTGGCTTTATTAATGACATATTCTAGTCGAATGAACCGGGAACCGAGAACCGACTCCGGTAGTCGAATCGGCATCGAGCATTATGTGTATTACAATTGACTATTAGCCATGCGGATGTTTGTCAAGTGGAATATGTAATTTATTTGGCTCGGAATACTTAACCGTCAGACGATGATTTGCGTGCGCATATAACTTATTAATTATTTACCAGATATACCTACATGGATTGTTAGACGCGAATCAACGATCGATGAACAATTGAAGTAAAAGAACTTAATGTCTACCTCTGCGTTTTTCTTCTAAATAATTCAATATTATACAAAAGGCATTTATATATATTTCAATATCAAAAACGTTTACATAGTTCTAAGGAATTGAATTATTTAATCTATTCCATAATGCCATTTTCCGCATCCCCTAATGCAAGCCATATCTGATCCATTTATTAGATTTTTCATCATGTAAATTTCATCCGAACTATCTTGTAAGTCGTTAATACACCGTAAAACCCTATTATTTATTTTCTGACTACCTAATAATACCACTTTGCATGCAAATGATGTGGTTGCATAGCCGAGAAAATTTTGCATGTAGATGGGATGTAAATATTATCAAAGTTGAAATGATCATTGCATTTGCAAAGTGCGCCGTAACAGTTTTTTGGTATTACGGTCTCAGGTTTTTGCGCTCCCCGGACTTTTTCCGGGACAGATAAATTGGATGCATTAGAAAACTTAAGCAATATTGTTGGGAAAACGAACCACACACTTGAAGAGAGAAGAGAATGGCTTTTGTAAAAACTAATTAATGAACAATTTAGATATTCACGAACAAATTTGTGTTAGTTTTATATCACATTAATTACATACACTTTAAATTCTAATTCGCATATGTAATATCATTATATATATATATATATATATATATATATATGTATATATATAGGTTAATATTATTCAAAAGTTGTCTTCCTATCTTTTCTGTCCATCGTGCACTCGGAAGTTTTGAATCTAGAACTCGCCATAATATAATGCAATTCCGCAAAATATTAACAATAAAGAAGTTGCATAAAGAAAAATGTTCTCTCGAACACAATTTCAATCAGTTCTGCGTCGATCAGCATTATTTTATCTGCCAAATCGATTTCATGTGTCCATCTTATTCAATAAATGCAATCATATTTCCTCCTCTCCGTCAGTGACACACAAAGTCAGTGGAAATGCTGTTCATGAGATATCGAATAGAATGAATGAATGGTAAGGGAGTTGGCTTGGCACGAGTTCAATGCAATCCGAATGAAAAATCTATAAATGTGTTTACATTGTATTGGCAATTGATAAGGTTTCCCGGACATTCGATTGGCGGTATAATAAAACAATCAATTTAACTCGATAGGAGAGGAATAATTGAAACCGCATTAGGAAAGGATACTGAACAAGTCAGCATATAATGGGGTTCGAGATGGGATAATTTGATGTCAAGTAGTTATTACTTGAGCGAACAGATATAAAAATATTTTACTAATACAAATATCTAATAATAATCTTCGAGATATTAATTATATGGTGAGAAGAAGATGTCAATAATATAATTGAAAAATATGGAAGGTAGACCAGAATATTTTTTCCGATTCCAGAATAAAATAATATTTGGTAATAATAGCTCAGTATTTAGTTGTAGACCATTTTTTTGACCATTACATTTCCTTTCACCTCGTCCAGCCGTGATCGGAAACAAAAGAGCGCCAGACCTAACACTGTCTCTTATACTGTTATACCTATACCTTCGTCCCAGGGCCGTATGTCTCTTTGACTGTCTAAAACTTATCATGACGAGTATGAGATTTCGCCCGCCTCTCGTGTATCTGCGTCATATTCAATCTTCTTTGAATCTGCCGTGGCGCTCTCGCATTGATGTAGTTTGTTCTCTTTGAGCGATACACGGGAACCCTGTGTCTATTGTTCGGAAACAACTTTCTAGCCAATGGTTCAGAAATACCTGCCGTTCGAGGTTGGGTAACTTACATAGGTTACATTACCGAACCGTCTCGAGTTGGATACAGTTTTCCGAGAGTATAACGAGTTTATTTTGGTTGCGATTCCCCAACTGGGAAAAATGCATCTTCGGCAATTTCACCGGCGACGTTCATGCCTGGCAGGTTACCGGCAGGCGATGCATCTCGGTAGAAGATTGTAGGATTTATAAAACTTTCGAGGAACATAAACAATATAATTCATTTATTTATAAATTTATTAGTTCCGGACATTACAAGCCACAGAAACTCGGTATACTTCATCACAATTGATATATTAGTTTCTTATTGCCAATTCCATTATTTACACATGTAGAAGTTCATGCAACTTAGCTTAAAGAAAACACCACTTATACCTAGTTAAATAATTAATTATTCATTCAACGCGAACTATTTTCTGATTTAATAAATATTAAAATGTTGTCTATTATCCAAAACAGTAATTTCATCGCTGGCGATTCTTTTAATGCAAATCCAAGCAAAATTTTAATCCTCTCCTAATTAAAATCGAATTAATAATATCTCCTGATGGGTTTATCCGTCTGCATTTAATTACAGCGACAAATCAATCCGTAATGGGCGAAAAGAGTGAAGAAATTCGTATCACTTTACTTTACTTTATAATTCCGGGCATAACACGAGTTTTTCTTGAGCCATTCATTACGTTTCCGGAAAAGCGAGCCTCATAAAAATATTCCTCGCTATTTCCCATTCGGCACCAGGCATGAGGTTTATTTTACACCAACTTTCCAATGAGATAGGAAAGGGACTAGTGATGGAGGTAAAAAGATTTTAAGAAATCTAAATCGAAACTTAAAAAATATAATCGATTTTGGCTAAGTGATTAGAGATAAAAACTTTGAATCAGAGGTCAATGCTCGATTAACCCGCCATGAACAGCCTGATGTCAATCAGTAATTTCCAATGAAAATGTAGATAGAAATATGTTTCTAAGTGAAAATATCGATTTCGAAATATAATGGAACGAGATAAAACGATACCCTGCAAAGCCTTTATGAAAATTACAACTTTTGAACAAACGTATATAACTTGT